ACCAGTATCTGAATGAGTAAAAAAGAATGCAGGTAAGTATCACAACTTACGAGATATTTCATTATAAGTCTATCAGTGGACCTCTTCAACTAACCAATAAACAAACAAACAAACAAACAAATAAATAAATACAGAAGGAAAGGGATCTCTACATTTACCTCAGTGTAACTTTGCACTTTTTGCTCAGTGACAGGATTTATAACTTTATGCCCAGAACTTCATTTACACATCTGCTTTTGAGCACATTTGCTTATACAACAACTGTGATTGCCAGAGCAATCACGCTTGCAGCCAAGGTACAAAATAATCCTCCATTTATGATTTGCCTATGCACAGAGGTCTAAGCACTCCAATAAAGGCAGGATTTAACAGTTCATCCCACTTCTCATCATGGAATTAATCAGGACAACTGATGGTAAGGCAGGCTTCCCATTTAATAAGCAGATAATAGTCATGAGTTTTGTGCACATAAAGAGACAGTATCTGATGTCCCTGACCTGTACAGCGGGGCAGAAGTCAAAGGTTTGTATAAACTTATTAGAGATGAGAGTGGAACAAAACAAATAAATTATCTGTGTAATTAAGTTGCCTTGTGAATGAGAGTGGTCACAGGAGGCCATCGGAATAAAGAAGTCATGGCTCTAGCACGGTAAGGAAGCCACTACTCTGGGCACCTACACATTTTCCATAGAGATTCCTGCAGGTTCCCTGCTGCTCATGTGCCATTCATTCACCAGTGAGATGTGCAAGTTCGATCCCACGGATGCTGCTATCTTATTTACCTGAATTAGGGTGCAACTAAGTCTCGGGATGTCTACAAATCCTTTTTGTGTCTGTGCTGAGCCTCCACATGGCTGCGCAAAGGAGCTGAGCAGACGTGTTCACTCCGTGCACTTCCAACGGTTTTAAGTGCAGTGCTTTTTTGGGCCTGCTGATAACTAAATTACCTATTATGCTATTTCTTTAGAGAGAGAGATGAAGAAATCTTCACGAAAAACCTCACCGTATCTAATCTTTCATCGCAAAGTGATGGGAATACTCTACAGCATTCTTTGCATAAACCTGAAGTATGCACTAAGGCAGGATGTTAATTCCATTTTATAACTGCTGGTAAATGCAAGCGGGAGAATACACATATATCCATCCCAGAACATCCATTACTAAATTTCATGAGTGTTTTAAGAATCTCAGATGACTAAACCCCAAAAATATGAAGTGTTTTTTTAAGATTTTCAAGACTGCTAATTGTTTTAGTGTCTTAGTCTCAATGCAACTTCCACAACTAAATAAAAAGACCTGAACTTGAGAATATGAGAAGTGTCTTCAGTTTCAGACAGAGCTTTTGTTAACCAGAAGTTACCCAAATTCTGTTTTACGAAACATTTGATAAAATCTGCTTGGTTAGTTAGTAAGAGGGTATTACAGTGAGTCTGCAAAACACGGATGCATCTTTGATTACAAGCCAATATGACAAAATGAGCTGTATTAGTAAAAATGAACCTGAGCATTTCTATTTTTACTATACTAAAGACTGTGATTTCCCAAAGCACATTTTTAATACCTAAGGGATATTTGATGGAGGGTGTGGGAACAAGCCATTATGAAATCTGTGAATAGTCTAGCATCTGCAGCTGAGAATGCCTGATGACTGGGTAATGATAGCAGAAGTACCAGTGTTTCATGTAAAGATGTGAGCTTATATCCTGTCTGAACTCTTAGGGGTAAAGACCTTGCAATTTGCTAGCAGAGAGTTTTGCAGAATACTTTCCTGATACTTAAATTGAACTCTTAAGTGCTTGTGTAATAGAGTAATAATGATTAACCATACAGCATGTGAGCTGCAGAACAAAAGTTTAGGCTAAGAAAAATACAAATAGGTGACTGCAGAGAAGTACAATAATTCATAATTTGAAAATTGTACTGAAGAGTGAAGCAGCTTCTGAGCAAATAAAAAACTTCTCACGGAAACGTAAGATCAACTCTCGACTAGGTTAATCTACATGGTGTTTAGCTGTTTCACTCCTTGCTACTCTAAAGCGCAGGATTTGTAATAGGTCTATTAATCAAAGTGATGGAAGAATAAAATCTTCACACTCAGCCAGGAAGGCATCAAGTCAGTATCAAAATCATAACATTTTCAGTTATAGCCGTCTATCTGGACTTTGGAAATGTTTAGACTACACAACCAAAAGTTAGAAACCAAACATTTGTACTCAACTGATAACAAGTGATCATTAATTAAGACTGAAGTCAACAATCTGGCACTGAAGAAATTTCTAGGACCCTGAGCCAAAAGTCTAAGGTAAGATGTCCAAAGTAAGTTCATAACAATTCATCATCAATACGAGATGAGATAAGCTCATTGGAGGAAGCAAAACGTGGATAATACAGGGGACTACAGGCAGCCTGTATGATAAATATTAACTTCTCTTCTGAGAGGGAGGCTAATGGGGACTCGTGATTCACCTAATTTAGGACTTTTTTTTATAATTGGATAAACAGTAATTTAGGGCTGAGGTTACTAACTATTATTGATGCCGTCAAAGATTTATATTGAGATGCCAGCTAACTATCAAACCCAGCTGTTGAACCTGGTTGTGCTAGGCTGTGTCCCAGCACGTAGTAGTGCCAGCCCTTGCTCCACCTACCTCAGTCTAAACCGGCAGTTTATTACTACAGGAGATGTAAAAACAGCCTCAGTAATAAAGTAATAAACACAAGTGGGATGCACTCAGTTCGTAGCCATCCAGTAGCAAAGATCTCAGCAGCTAGGTTATAAGCAAAGTATGCTCTGCTGAGCTCTGGGGATTTTCAAGGGACAACCCATGAGCTGGTGGTCTGCAAGGCACACAGGAGTGGGTGGTAAAAGCAGAAGCTGCACTGGTTCTTCCTCTGTGTCTACTTTCGTGTGATGCAATGGTTCCCAGTTTCTTTTAACCATTCAGTGTCCTTCAAAAGCTTCTTGAAGAGGATGGTTGTGCATAGGTTAGAAGGAGAGCTGAAGGAGGACTCTGCAGTGATGCATTTTCTCTTGAGCTTTTTTACTTGCAAGAGAGAGGGTAAAAAGTTGCCCATGTGCTATTTATATAAGCTATGTGCGTGGTACGCTGGGCACCTCCTGCTTCTCTTCCCCAGGAGCGTGTGACGTGTCCCTGTGGAGCCGCTGGCTCTGCCTGAGCAGACGCTTGCAGCCTTGGTGTATGGGTGATCTGGACTTGGGGGTGGCCCAAACTGCCCTCCTGCAATCAGCGTAGATCGTCCCAACCCAGGTCGTGGAAAAGGCAAGCAGTGGGCAGGAGCGGCTGCTGGCAGGGAGGCGAGGTGAGGTGGGAGGCAGCTGGAGAGAGCCGGAGACAGGGCAGGAGCAGGGAGGGAGAGACCGCTGGCGTACGAAATCTCCACTTCCACCAGCAGCCAGGACCCGACACGGCGGTCTCGCAACCCGCCGTGCAGACTGGGCTGCTGGGGCGCCCGCAGCCTGGTGTCCCTGCGGGAGCTCGCCCACCAGAAAGGGGATGTGCGCTCCTCCCGCCCCCCTGCCTGGTTTCACCTGGCCATTCCCAATATGTCCTTTATGCTGTAAGCATCATCGTTCCCAGAAATGACGCCTCTCCAAACTCTGCGTTAACTCTCCCCCCACACACAACAGTCGTGCACATTCTGTCTCACGACGGCCCTTCTGCTACGCGCGCTCTGCACCGACAGAGGCTGCTGCCAGAAGAGGAGAATCTGCCACATTTTTTGGTTATGAATCCCCCCCTCATGCCTCCCAGCCACAAACAGCTCCTGCAATACCCCCGGCCTGCACCGCAGATGGCAGTGTGCAGTTACTTTCCTGGGCGTATTTACCTCTTCGCTGGTTCCTTGACATTTGCTGGAAAACTACTTCACTCAGTAAACAGCAAAAATGATAACATCTGAGACTATATTTAAACACTATTAATTTCATATCTGAAATAGGAGCATTTGTTAAGTGTTTGCTGTAAACTTTAGTGTATCGTAAATCCAGTTGTTTTTATAGGTCAGATCCCAGAAGAAATCTAAGCAAAGAGACTGAAATGTAGATAAGCAAAAGAAAATTTCCTCGGGCTGTTGTATATAAGAACATTAAGTAATATTTAGAAATGAAGTTATTAATTCCCCAAACACACGACTACATTCAGTCTACGTAAATACTTTAAGTCAAATTCAAAAGCTAAATATTTTAAGTCAACATTACTGCTCTCCAAAATAACTAATGTGTTCACCAAAACCTTTTATGAATCTACTTATAGTTCTTTAAAGATTTAGTCCTTTTTAGGTTTCCTACATGGCAGAGCGTAGCCTGTACTGGTTCCGCATTCAAAGATGACTTCCTACTCAATTTTTTTCCTTGAGTAACAACCAGACTTCACAACTACATTGTACCTACACGGTGGTAATGCTCTAAACTGCAAAGGGTGAAACGGGCTTGTGCAGACCCTGCTGTTTGTGTCACCGAAGTACAGTTGATGCCAGCCAGGAGGGTTTGAGCTGACTTTTGTTCCTTAAAGCTGGGCTTCAGGACAGTCGTCTGATGACTAGCAGCTAAGCATGTAGGAAGAGAGAAAGCTTTTGCTCCTTCTCCCAAAGTTTTTTTCTCCCAAGCAGGGAAATTGGTGCAGAGACCAAGATGGGAAAGGACAGGGTGTGCGTGGGGCTGTCTGGCTTGAGCAGAAGTCACCCCCAGGCTGACTCAGGAGCCCCTAACAAGCCCCTAGGTCCAATGCTGCTGCGCAAGGCTTTTGCTCTCCACTCCAGCAGAGCCATAAGCAGAGGGGATATTAGGTGAGACAGCTATCAATCACACTAGTGGCTGCCTGCTGAAAGTTCTCCAGTGAAAATCCTCCCTGGATGACTAACCGCTGCAAACCAACCCGAGCCCTCTTGAGCTGAGCCCTGAGCAGCAGCAGCAGCAGCAGGCTTCTGTTAGCGACATCGAGCTACCACTGAACGCGCAGTTATTGCACTTGCACACAAAGATGGAGGTGCAAGTGGTCCAGGCCCCTCGAGGAGCAGATACGACATCTGAAAGTCAGCACTTGGTAAACAGCAGTGAGAGGATTTGTTCACAGACATTGTGCCGGGGACGCTGCGAGGCAGTCCACCTCGCAGGTACCCTCCAGCTGGGGAAAGGCAGCCGTTCACATGAAGGAAGGTGCTGGGGCGGGGGGGAGGCAAACACTGGAGTATGTCACGTCATCTCTCCGACTAAGGCGAGGGAGATGCGCCAACTAACAGAAGAGATTGCTCCAGAGAGAACTGCGGTGGGACAGGAACGCAGACCATGCCTGGCACTACTGAATTGGGTTTGTGATGATGGTGAGAGCCAGTTTATAACCTACTGACTTGTTTGAGGATGACAGATCTCATGAGACAGCCAAACACAGCAGCCAAGTTTGGAGGAACTGTGATGAGACCTGAGTGAATCAGGTAAGCGGGCAACACAAAGGCAAATGAAACGCAGTGCCTGCAAAACCAGGGTAATACCATTTAGAGAGGCACATTCAGACTTCGATTTAAACACTTTACAGGACTTTCCGTTCACTGGATTATTTCAGAAAAAGGACAGCTCAGTGAAGACATCTGCTCAATGTTCAGCTGCTGTCAAAAAAATTACCAGAAAAATATTTTGGAAAGAGTATTAGTGTGCTTGCTCTAGGACTTGAGTTAAAGCCAGTCCCGAACTATTACTGATCCAAAGTTTAAAGCTATCATATATTGGGCTCACTAGATAAGACCTCTTTCCTGCACATAAATCTTGTCTGGGTAAATTTCAGGACTGTGCACTTCAGACCAGAATCCCCAAATATCTTCTCTGCGTGCACCCTGATCAGCCATCCGGCAGACACCTAACAGCTTGCTCACTGCGCGGCGGAGGTGGAGGTGGTGCTGCCGCAGGGCTTTTTACCTCCCCTGAAGCAGTTGTTGATGGCCAGAGAGAGGAGTTTAGATTAGGTGAATGGCAGGACCCGTCTGGTTTGGGATCCAGAAAGGCAGCGTATCAGGAGCAATGAGCAGTTGAGCACAACTTGCAGCAACTCCGCTGCTAGTCAAAATGGCACCAGGCTGAGCCAGTCCCTGACTTGCCCTAGACTGGGGGGGAGCTGAGGTAATGCTCTTCCTTAAATCCTACCCACCTGCAGCCAGAACAAAGAATATGGGTCTCAGCCTTTATGCCCACCTAATCTTTCATTCACTGTTTGGATTATCATAAATATAGATCTAATTTATATCGTCAAACGCTAATTTTTTTCAGACCTGCAATGTCTTACGTACTTTGGGAAATCTGCTGTACATAGGAAGTGTTAAGAGGCTATACCAAAGACAGGACAAATAGAATGAATGAACGAAATGTAACTATCTTTTATGAACTTGCAATGATATAAATGCAAACCTGAAGGGTGGTCCTCAGCTGGGTGAAAGGTAGCCTGGGGAAGCAGATGTGGAGGACCTGAGCCAGAGGAACTGAGGGAATCCTCCCATGTTCAGAGATGCAAAATTTGGCCCCGTTTTTTTAGCATTGGATAGCAGCTATTTAATATTTAGAATAAATTGCTAACAGCAGTAATGTAAGCATTTTTTAAATTCCTGTTTGTGCTATTAAAATATTTAATAAAATTATCTAATTGGTTGCTGACTAAAGTGTCAGGGAACAGTTTAGTTTACCAGATTTAGTGCTACAAAGGAATTATTCTTTTAGATCCAGAGGATCCATTGCTGATGAGTTATTTGTGTAGAACTTTGATGTGTTAAAAACAATCTACTAGTGCTAGATATTACCATATCCTACAGAACTAGTTCTCCCATAGTTCTGTAAAGGATGCATCTTACTTAAGGTTTAAGGCACTCTGTAAGCAGTCCATCTGGAGATTTCTTTACGCGTTAATTGTTAGTTATTCTCATGCTTTAGTTTCACAATAATAAAAAAAAGAAACTGCATTCTTTTAAACTTAGGCACATGTTTATTACGCACTTTGTTAATTAAGGATTGAAACAGTGCCCTCATACGCAGCACTATTCAGTTTGAAAAAAAAAATTGCATTGGTGTGTATTAATTTTTTCATTTTGAATGTTCAAATGTTCTTTTTCTCGGTGTGAGTGAAAAAAACCCCAGTTGTCTTCATTCCCTGGTAAGCACATTTTCTTTCTACACTCAAATGTCATGTTCTCTCACATCCTTTCACTTTTTTTTGGTCATTAATTCTGTTGTAAGGAAAAAGAAACACACACTCTGCTACAGAGCAAAGCAGGTCTGACTGATGCTATCTCTCTCCCTTGACCTTTCTGTAGCACTATTCATTAATATGACTATACCACTAAGTCTTCTGTTCGGGGGATTAGGGAATTACACGGCAATAGCATATTGAGCTTTCCACCTCTAGCTGGTAAGCTTGGTACTACTTAAAAATGGTTACAGGTATGAAGACTGTTAGAAAATGTAGTTATTTACTAGCAATAACTTATTCTTTCTCTGCAAGTTACACAGAAGGAGCTATGTGCCAAATTATAGGTGATTAACATTTTTCAGATGAAACAGTAGTCAAAATGTGACCATTTTTCAATCTTTTTTTTTGGTTGTCAAAACATTTCCCCATGTTCAGTGCTTTTTAAATAGCTGTTAGAAATACAACAAAACAGCCATTTTTGCACTTTATTTTTTACTTTTTCTTGAGCATTTTATTGGCTATTGCTGTTGGCAAGAGTTGGTGGTGTAAAGTAAAACTCACTGGGTTTTTTCAGAATTGAGAAATGTTGCTTGGAGAATTTGTTTCTGAATTCAACAGCACAGGAACTTCTGGTTTAAAAGCAAATGAAACACCTTTTCAGAAAACCTTGCCTGGTAGCCATAAGACAGGCTATTTTTAGCCACAGCGGGAGTAAAGGAAAGGCAGTTGCACATCCCATAAGATCACCAAGTCCTATCTCTTCTAGACATCTGTCCTTGCTCTTCTGCTCCTAACAGCTATAGGAGTAGAGTATATGTGTGCCTGGATGCTGAGACAGAGAGCACCGCTGTGGTTATAGAGAAGAGATGCATTCAGCGCGCGTAAGTTACTGTATGTAAGCACATCTCTTCATCTTTCATGACATGGTCTCTATAGAGCTCAAGAGCGATCTCCTAAAGGATAGATGGGGGGTGGCTGGCATAATATGCCCCTTGAAGAGGGATGACTGCATTGCTGGCTTGAAAATGTCTTCTGCTCTTGGTGCCTTAGAAGGAGAATAATGATTTCTGAAGTCTGAACCTAACTCCTCCATCTGGCAGTGCTACAGATTTCAGATAAGGGAACATTACTGTGATATACGTATATATGTATCAAGATACCAGAACCCAACATCCTACTTCTTGAGTGAGCCCTGAGGCATTTATAGCATGACTAATCTCACTTACTTTGACAGTCATTAGGCTGAGATAGCCTGATTTCTATGTTTTTCTCCAAAAGCTGTAACAGGCTTTCTCAACGGGTTAGTTGTGGGCAAGCATAAGAGGTGCTGCTTTTAATAGCTGGCTCACGTAACCTTACCCCTGAAGTACTCCCGACTGACTTCAGAAAACACAGTGATATTCCTGACTGGGGTGAAAAACAAGGTCAAATCCCAGAAATATTTATTCAGCAATAAATTATAAGTTGTCGACTGTCAGAGTTCCCTCCCAGATATGAAAGGATGCTGGAAAAGAAGCAAGGCACAAGAAAGAAGAAGAAAAGCAGCACATTTCCCCCTGACTGAACCAACCAAAACATGCTTTGTGGGTTTTACAGGTCTGTCTTAATTTGCTGACGCAGGCAACGGGACGGGGCTCTGCAGCCGGAGTAGGAGCGGAGACGTGGTGGGAGCCTCCCCGGGGCACGGGGCTGAGGCTGAGGCACGTCCCGGCGCTCCTGCCAGCCGTCCCGGGACGGGACGCCTGCGGCCTGGCAGGTGACAGGGATGCGTGTGGCTTGGCAGGTGGATCTCCCGGCTGCAGGAAGGGCTTTCTCAACAAACCAGCCAAGAATAAGCATACAGTTTTAGAGAGCAGCGGACGGGGTTTTATTCAACACAGTCCTTATGTGCTTAATAAAGCCATTCACGTAGCTAGAGTTTGCAACTTAGATGGTAAATTTTTTCATTTTTATTTTTAAAGGGAAATCTGCTTACACCAGGCTGTTTTTAGAAGCTGGTAACTCAATTTAGCCTTTATGTTCCTTGAAGTTCAAGACAATATTTAATGAAGAGCCAGGGTGAAATGACCAATCCTGATGGCTACATCAAGCAAGATATGAGCTGAGCCTACGTATCATTACCCTAGTCGAGACAGAAATGTGACATTATTTAGGAGTGTTTGGAAGATCCAGTTTCTGCTCGGACTCTAGTAGCCAAGCCAAAGTCCCAGGGCTTTACTAACATTGGTGGTGCCCGCCTGAAATGGTAACACGATTGGCTCTCATGCTAGAGCTTCATGGATCACTGACTTGTTTTATACTCTGAAGGAACGCCAAAAGTATCATAGTGAAGTGGGGAAAAAAAAAAAAAAGCCCAAACCCAGAAAACAGAGTGTAGTAAAATTATTAGTAGGAACTATTAATCTGTTTAAGGAGATTTTGACATCTGTTTTTAAAATCAATCCATTTGGCAGAAGTGAGGTAGCTGCTGTGTGCATGGATGCAATGATTTCAGAAGTCATTTAGGAAAAGTTGTTTGATCTTGCAGATGAGGAGTACTATAATGTGCTCTCCCCATAGGTTTGCTGTGGGGACAGTAAGAAAAGCCTGGTAAATAAATAATAATACCTTAAACTACAATGAAATTATCTTCTCTGCCTGTTATATACCTAATCTCACCTTCATTAGTTTTTAATACTACACTTTATAAACAACAGCAATCAGAGCAATAGCTGTATGAGCTTTAAAAGCCAGTGTTTTTCATTCAAAATTAATGACACATCACCTGGAAGGTGGAAGGCTTCAGCTAAGAATAAATCATAAGTAAAGTCAGCATGGGTACTTTGCAGGAACGTTACCCAACAAAAAACAGTCTAAAAGTGAGGTACTTGGAGCCATCTGATGTCCTCAAACTCCAGATGAAGGATGCTCACCAACAGTCTGCATGACACTTTTTTTCCTGTATTCTTAATTATTTGTGGGTTTAGCTTAAAGTAAATGACATAAATAGATGCAAATGAATCTGCTAGCCTCTCAAATTCTTCAAGGATGTGGTTGCACAGATGGAACGTTTACAAAAGAGGAGCAGAGCAAAGGGTTTTGTCTCTTTGGGTCAGAACAAGCCAGTTCATCTCCACAAAAGTCACATCACACTCTGTAAACTGCATCAGTTATTTCAGAGAAAGCAGAAAATAAGCCCAAAGAAGTCAGTAAAGACAAACTGCTCATGTACCTTCAGACTCTCAAGGTTGGCTGTCTTTGCAAGAGCAGTACCGAAATCTGCCCCTGATTTTTATTTGGCAAAAGTGAGACAAATCCACTCGAGTGCGTGAAATGCCATTTGTCCACACAAAAATAAACCAACCACATACGCACCTTCAAGCAAATACTTATGCTCCTACAGGATTTTTCTTGCAGGATGGGGCAATTTGGGATTCAAATAAAGAGACTTGTGCCCCTTTGATGGAGACCCTGTCCTGCTGCCACCAGCTTAGACAAGAGGGGAGCGGAGAGTAGCCTCTGCCTAAAAGGGGCCACAAAGACAAACTTTTGATTAACGATCCAAGCACTAGAGATGCAACACAGGAGAAATAAATCCCGGTCAAAATCTTGCTGATGCCTGTGGATTGGAAGCCCCCCCCCAGTTCCCCTCCCCGCCGCCCCTGAAGAGTATCTCTGCGGTTTCTGCAATAGCTTAATATGTAAAATATATGTATCAGAAGGATTTTTTTCCGACCTCTTTTTTTTTTTTTTTTTGAAGCTGGTGACTTAATTAGCAAAATCAACATTCTTATGAACTGTGCCACATTTACTTAGCAATTACTACCAAATGTGGCTTTCCTGCAAATCTGACAGGACGGCTCTGTTGTCTCTCTGTCCTCTGCACCTGAGGACAGCTAAATGTTCCACGCGGACCTTACCGAGCTCCTGCCCCAAGCCTCATCCTGGTCAACAAAGAGATCCCTTTTGACCTTCCTGGAAGCTGGATTAGGCCTTTAAAAGCCATACATTTTAAATCATTCCGTGGAGGCTATGTTTGCTCTAAAACCACAGTGAAGTAAATGCAAAACTATATTAATATTTAACATTGGCCTATAAAAACTAGGAACTCAGAGTCAGGACAGCTGGTACAAGTTTAATTCACATCATCATTTCAAAATGAAAATGCAGAAGAGGACAGAATATCACATCTTCACGTTCGAAATCTATTTTCTTTTCTTTCATATCCAATTTTGTTCTTTCCATACCTATACCTGTTAAATAGCCATGAAAAATACTTTGCATTTATACAATTTTTTGATTTGCTTTTCCTTTCTGGTAGTACTGGTTATACTTAAGGAAATCAAAACAGAAAAAAAAAAAAAGGGCCAGAGGGAAAAACCCCAAGAGAATAGCTTAGTTAAAAGAAAAACAAACACAAATACTGTGCTTGTGGACTGTATTTAGGGGTTGGCCAGAAGTCTTAAGGTCTTGATAGATGGTTCTCGGGCGCACAGTTTTATTGCTGGTACACAGCACACTTTGTTCCTTTTGTTTCACTAAACCTGCCAACTTTGGAAATTAGTGACACGGGCATTCAAAATGTTTGACAAGTGGTCAGAGTCCGATATATATATTCATACCCCAGCGGTAAATGATGGCAGGAAATTTCAGATGCAGTGAAAATGAATTCTTTAGTTCGGCCCAACTTTAATATAACGCTAGTCTCGTAAGCACTTTTACTGTCGAAGCAGGAGCGCCTCTTGGCTAGCACACAGGAGAGACATCATTTAAAGAAATGTTCCTTTGCTTAAACGCAAAGTCCAAACCTGCTCAGTTCATTTAAAATATTTTTTTTTTCCCCTAGGATAAACGAATAAGCAGTTCCTTTTGTGGTTTTCCTGACGCTCGGTGACTCGCTGTTATTCTTCCAGCAGAAAAAGGATCAGAGGCTCACACGAACAGAGGTGTCCCTCCTCCTCAGCCCCACACTCGCCCGCTCCCTTTGGAAAACAAAGGTGACGGGCCCGGCGTTCGCCTGACTAAAAGAGGCTACAGACCGTCTGGCGATACACCGCTGTGCCTCTGCGCGTCAAAGTCTCGGGGAAAGGGAACAGGTTAGCAAGCACGGAGTCTCAGCCACGAACCGCCGGCTGCGCTGGCTTTTGTTCCCGCTCGGCAGCGCAGGGCCGCTCTCCCGAGCCGCCAGCCCAGCAGCCCCTTCTGCGCCGGGGCTCT